CCTGCCTTTTTTTTTTTTTATTTCCTAGCTGTCACTCAACTTTTTGGTGAAGATGTTATACCATTTCATAGTCAGAGAAGGAAGGAAAGATAATAGTTAAGGCCTCAGCAGACCCAAAGAACACAACCCCAGCAGGCTACGACCCGTCAGGTTTGGTAAGTTTTCAGAAGGATGCACACTGAGTCTTTATGGCACCATGGGCATCAGGCTGGGAGAAGGTGAGCTCGGCCAGGGAGAATGAGTCTCGACGGAATCCAAAGGTGGACTTGACTGGGAGGGGCTTCTTTTAGGAATCCACTGAAGAGCCAGACTTTGGAGCGTGTTGGCTCCTTGGCATGGATGAGGACACTTCTGCAGCGGACACACCAAACACTTCCTGTCCTCCGTCCTCTGGGCTGCGCTCTCACCCAGGCAGCCCATACCTTTGAAACCCAGTCTTCCACAAACGGCGCAGCAGCGGCGGCGGCAAGAGGGGACAGAGAGGCGGCAACTCAAGGCAGGGTTCTGACGGGTCCCCACTAGGTGGGGTCCCCACTAGGGCCTGGGTGGCTCATGGGAAGAGCATCATTTAATGTCCCGCACACCTGCCCCGGGGAGGCAAGTGGAGATTTTTTTTTTAGCTAAGAAAAAGCCCAGTTCCCTTGTTTTTCTTACATCCCATCTGAAGTCTGGTTCTATTACACCCCAACCCCACTGTAGTGCTAGAGATTGCCCCCCAGGGCTTGTGCAGGCTAGGTCAGCTCTGCCACTGAGTGACCTCACAGCCCTCCTCTGTGGTTACAGCTCCAGTGTCTCCACAACACCCACACATTTCAACCTCTTCCTCTGAGGTAGGGCTGGAGAGATGGCTCAGTAGTTAAGAGCACTCACTGCTCTTCCGATCGGTCCTGAGTTCAATTCCCAGCACCCACATGGGGGCTCCCAACTGCCTGATGCCTTCTTCTGGTGTGCAGATGTACATGCAGACAAAGTACCCATATACATGAATAAATAAATCTTTAAAAATAAAGGCCAGAAAAAAAGGGGGGGGGCAGAACACTCACAGAGCAAAGATCAGTGTGCACGTGGATCCAGATGAGGTACCAAGAAGGGAAGTAGTGAAATAGAAGAGAAAGCTAAGGACCACATGCAACTAGCTCTTCCCAAATCCGAGGGGCCTTTCGGGATTTGGGTACCGCAGGGTCCTGGCCTCGGGTTCTCTCCGTCCCTTGTCCCTTCCTGGACGCGCACCTGTTTGTGAACTTTAGTAAGCTGCTCCAGGTTGTTCTCAAGAAAGGAGATCTTCTGCTTCTGGGAGTGAATCCCCCCACTGTCCTCGGGCTCCATTTCTGCACTCTGATTAGAGGGAAGGGAAGAAAGACATGGCTGTCCGAGACCAAACCAACCACACGGGGACGACGGCAGGCTGGAGAACCCTGCGGGGGAGAGGGAGCGGGCAAGGCTGGAGGACGCCACTCACTTTCTTGACTCGAGTCGTGACGTCTTGAACGAACAGCTTGCGAAGGTTGTGGAGGGTCTGGAGTTCCCGGGCCTGCAAAGAGTCACTCAGAATTGGGGACGGCTAGATACCCGGTCTGCCCTCCCCCTGCACACTCATCGAAACCTTCAGGCTACCCAGCCAAGTGGGTCTGGGATCCCCGATGAACAGGCGCCCCTGGGCGCCCCGGCCGAGCCACAGGCGTACAGTAAGAGGGCGGGAGACACAGACTAGGAAGAACTGAGGAGGGTGGGGAAGAGCGCCCCCTACTGTGTTAATGTGGCACGGGAGGAAACCACTCACAACTGTCTCCTCCAGCCCTTTGAGGTCCTGCTTGGACTGCTCGTGTCGCTCGTAGAGAAATCTGCAGCAAGAGAAAGAAGGGGAGAGACGGATAAGAAAGACAGACCCCTCAGGAGGCTCCTCCCTACCATTCCTTTATCTTAACTTTACCAGTGTGGTTTGTTTTTTTTTAAAGATTTATTTATCTATTATGTATACAGAAGAGGGCGCCAGATCTCATTACAGATGGTTGTGAGCCACCATGTGGTGGCTGGGAATTGAACTCAGGACCTCAGGAAGAGCAGTCAGTGCTCCTAACCTCTGAGCCATCTCTCCAGCCCATCAGTGTGTATTACACAAATTACTTGAGGTATTGCAATGCAGTAATCAGAAAGGAATCCTGAAAGGCGAGCTCAGGACATTTTATGAAAGGCCACGATTCTATGATTCACAGGTGGCCATCCTTGCCCACTCTTCTTTATGCACAGCCACATACAAAGCTTCTTGCAACCATACCATCGACACTGCTTCAAAATCTGATTTCCATTCTGGACAGCTCCGGCTGCCCTGGAACTCACTCTGTGGACCAGGCTGGCCTCGAACTCAGAGAGATCCCCCTGCCTCTGTCTCCCGAGTGCTGGGATTAAAGGCGAGCGCCACCCACCACGTCCAGCCTGGCAGTCATTTGGTCTCTTTTTCCTTGCTCCCCGCACCCCATTCAAGCCTGCTTCCAGTGACCTCTCCCAGAGATTCACAGTTTGGAGCCCGCCGCGGCCGCCGCCGCCGCCGCTGCAGCCGCTGCAGCCGGTGGCTAGCGTCACTCACGTCAGCTCCTGGAGTTTGGCGCTCTTCTCATGCTCCTCGTTCTTCAGCCTCTCATAATCAGCCTGAAGCTTCTCCAGCTCCAGCTGCAGCTTCTGGTTCAGGCTGGGGAGGAGAGGGGGGACACCGGAGAGGCACTGAACAGAGGGGCACTGAACGGAGAAGAGGCAGTCCCGCCCCTCACATAGGAGCCCGCTCTGAAGAGGGTGCTCCAGTGAGACCTGATGTGTCTGCCCTCAGGTATCAGGGATAAACCCCACTCCCTTTTTCATGAGAGCATGGGACCCTGAGTACCCCAATTATAAAAGCCCCAAGGACAGGACTAATTCTAACTTCTTGTCTCTCTTTTTTTTTTTCCATTAATTTTTTTTTTATGTGCATGGGTGTTTTGTCTGCCTGTATGTCTTTGTGCTACATGTGTGCCTGATGCCTGAGGAGGCCAGAAGAGGGTGTTGGATTCCCCTGGGACTGGAGTTACACATGGCTGTGGCCACTATGTGGGTGCTGGGAATCGAACCCAGGTCCTCTGTGAGAGCAGCCAGTGCTTTAACCACTGAGCCACATCTCCAGCCCTCCCCATGTCTCTTGAAGTTGGGCTTCAACGTGTGTCCTTGTTGAGGAAATGACCTTGGACATTAAAGATCCAGAAGGATCACTGGAGTGGCCATTGTGAGATTCAAGGACGGACGTGACACCGCCCTCTGGGACCCTTACTCTTTAAGCTCATCGATGGTCCTCTGCTTCTCATTGATCTCATCCCGGAGTCGGGCCAGCTGCCGGTGATGGGCCTCACGGTGATTCTCCATCTGCAGCTCCAGGGCCTTCTGCAAACAACCCAACCCCATGCTCGGAGCCAGTGCCCAGGCGGACAGCCAGCCCCGCCTCTGCCCCGCCCCTGCCCCGCCCCTGCCCCGCCCTGCCAAGCACACCACGCAGCTTCCCAGTTCACCTTCACTTCCTCTGCATCCTGTGTGTCTGGTTCCTTGTCTTTCAGGGTCACTTCATGCACAGTTTCTAAGTGAAAGAGAGGAAGACAGCTTCCATGATCCCAGAGCTCCAGGCCACAGGGGATGGGTGCCTGGGGATGTCCTGGGTTGGGACAGTCCCATGTGATTCACCAGGGATGGAGAACAACCGAGGGTCTAGGGTTCGTGAAAACCGAGCTACATGCAAAAGCCAGGCTACGTGTTAAGTAGCCTGTGAGCTGACCCTCGGGACTCTGGGCCGATGCTAAGCAAGACGCTATCAGGTCCTTTCTTCCGATGTGTGTGACTCTCCTTTCCAGTCCCGTCTGGGACCTCAGCTCCAAGGATGGCTGGGATAGACCTAAGGAAGCCTCACCCTGTGCCTGAAGCTTGGCCAGTTCATCGCTCAGGGAATCGTAGGACTCTTCCAGATGTCTCTTCTTCAGCTCCACACTCTGCATGTATTCCGTGAGCGAACGGATCTTGGCCTCATGCTGGTAAGGGAAGGGCCATGGCATAAAGGAGACAAGGTACCAGGATCTAGCACCGTAAACTGCAGCTCCCTCCCATGCCATTCCTGCTACACTTTCCATGAGGATGCAAGGCCAGAGGCCATTGCTACGGAGACTCTCCCTTCAGACAATGGAGTCCGAGGACAGTACCCCCTGAGCTTCACGTCTTTGGCCTGGATCCTCCCCGCTATCACCCTGGTTCTTCAGTCCTTGATCTCCACTGACCCAAGACACTGGCATCAGGGTGGGTGTTGGGAAGTTTTTGTTTTGTTTTGACTTTTGGTTTTCCCCAGGCAGGGTTTCTCTGTGTAGCTCTGTCTGTCCTGGAACTCACTCTGTAGACCAGGCTGGCCTTGAACTCACAGAGATCCACCCAGCTTGCGCCGCCACCACCACCCAGCCAGGAGATTTTCTATATCTCACACTTGGGCTCTCCTCCTCAGACACTCACCTGTGAGATGAGCAGTTGGCAGGACGACAGCTCCCGCCCAGTCACCTCCATCTTGCGGTGACACTCCACCTGGAGGTTCTCCAGTTGCCGACACCGCTTCACCACAGACTTGACCTCCGATTTGATTTTGCTGATGTAGAGTCGGGCCACAGTGAACTCCTCTTCGATGGCCCCGCTGATCTCCACTGGCTGAGGGTGGGCAGAGGAGGGAGGAGCTGCTTCTCTCTGAGGCAGACAGCGTGTGCCTACATCCCTCACCCTCCGCCTGCATCCCACCCCTTCGAAGGGACTCAAGGAGGCGGGCAATTCCTGAGCACCTTTTGTCAGCTTGTACTGGTTAGTTTTCTGTCAACTTAACACAAACTAGTCATCTGAGAGGAGGGAACTTGGAGAAAACGCCTCCATATGATCCGGCTGTAGGCATTTTCTTAATTAGTGATTGATGGAAGAGGGCCCAGCCCATTGTGGGCGGGGCCATCCCTGGGCTGATGCTCCTGGGTTCCATAAGAAAGCAGGCTGAGCAAGCCAAGGGGACCAAGCCAGGAAGCAGCACCCCTCCATGACCTCTGCATCAGCTCCTGCCTCCAGGTTTGTGTTCCTGCCCTGACTTCCCTCAGCCAACTGTGACTTGGAGTATGCCAGCAGAATAGACCCTGTCCTCCCCAGTCGCTTTTGGTCCTGGTATTTCACCACAGCAATGTAGCCCTAACAAGACACGCTCCTGTCAACTAACATTTCACTTCAAAGCCTCTGCGGACATTCAGATACTGGATGCTGATAGCCTTCCCCTTAAAAAATCAACGGGTCTTCTTTTGTTTGCAATATTGCCTGTGCCAGTCCCAAACCCCTGGGTGCATTTTCTGTCCCAGCCTCCTGAGGATTGGGGTTACAGCTGCACACACCCTACTCCCCGATGGAGTTCCTTTTGCAGATATAGACCAGCTCTGCCTGGTAACTCCAATAGGTGGTCTTCTTCTTCTTCTTCTTCTTCTTCTTCTTCTTCTTCTTCTTCTTCTTCTTCCTCTTCCTCTTCCTCTTCCTCTTCCTCTTCCTCTTCCTCTTCCTCTTCCTCTTCCTCTTCCTCCTCCTCCTCCTCCCCTTCCTCTTCTTTTTGTTTTGCTTTGGGTTTTGACTGTTTTTTAAGACAGAGTTTCTCTGTGTAGCCCTGGCTGTCCTGGAACTCACTATGTAGACCAGGCTGGCCTCGAACTCAGAGATCTGCATGTCTCTGCCTCCTGACTGTCGGGATTCAAGGTGTGTACCACTACCGCTCAGCCTCCAGTAGGTTATTTTCTTATGCACAGATATCATTTCTACCCTGTGTCACCTCTAGATCTTGCCACAGGAATCTCTCTCTCTCTCTCTCTCTCTCTCTCTCTCTCTCTCTCTCTCTCTCTCTCTCTCTCCCCTTTAGAATGTGTCCCCTCGGTTGTTCCTACAAATCTGTCTTTTTGTGTCTAATCTGAGGCACGGTCCCCCCCCCCTTATTTTTTGTTAACTTAAAAAAAAAAAAAGAAAAACAAAACAAAACTGATCTTGCTTGCCCTGGCTGGCCTAGAACTCGTTTTCCCTGCCTTGATCTTCCAAATGCTGGGATTACAGATGTGAGGTAGCACATCTGGCTCTTGTAGGGGATGTTTCCTGGCTCTTTGGCCTGCCTTTCTCCGTACCCCAAAAGGATGGACTGTCCCACCACACCTCCCTCTCCAGTGCCCAGAGCAAGAGTGCCCCGAACACCACTGCGTACCCCGCCCCACCCCCCACCCCCCCACTTACCAGCTTAATCTCACCGTTGCCCACGATGACACTGAACTCACTCAGGTCCTTCATCAGCCCATTCAGTACCTCAGCGATCCGTTTTCGCTGGTGTCCACTGACCTCCTGGAGCCGCTGGAGCTCGGACTCCAGGGACAGCATGGTGGCCTAGAGACAGCCCCCAAGGTCACTACCATTGCCTCCTGCTCCCCTTCCCAGCTTGAGCAGAGCCTCTCTCATATCATGTAAGACTCTGGGGGCTTCTATGGAGAGAATACAGACCCTGCAGAAGCCTCTGGAAGAGAGAAGGGGCACATGGCAGGGGCCGGGCAGGGCAGGGGAGGGCAGGGGAGGGCGTCTCACTGAACAGCAGTGCAGCCGCGGCAGGAAGCGGAGGTGTTCCGAGGTTAGGGCACCCTCGGGTCACTCGCCAGCCACTCACCACCTTCTGGGACAGCTCGTCCACCAGCAGCTGGTTCTGCTGGTTCTTCTCCTCCACCTCCTGGGACTTCTGGTCATAGTTGACGGCCAGCTCCTCCAGAGCCTGAAGAACTTCCTTCACCTCATCCTTGGCGGCGTCGTTCTCGGACTGCAAATGGCTTAGCTCCCGCTGGACCTTCTCATTGTCTCCCCGAGTAGACACCAGCAGCTGGGGAGAGGCAGGGCACGCGAGACCTCACTCCGCCTCTTGGGCCCCTAGGTCTGTGCGAGCTTAAGCTCCAACGCCC